GTGTGCAAACCCTCAGAGTAATTTGTTGAATACCATCGCAGTGAGAGCTTCATATATTTTACCTATTTTAAAGCGATTTCCTTGGAGAAAACCAAGAAAAACCGGGCGGGTGGTGTATCCCCCCCCGGAAAAAACCAAAACAGAAACCAGTTTGTCTTTTTGAGTTTTGGGGTAGACCCTTTAAGACTGTAATCATCGAGATTCGCTGGCCAGGCTAAAAATATAGAAATTCTGAAAATTTGCCTGAAAAACGCTCTTAGGGAGATATATTAAAAAAAAAAACATTTAAAAGTTTGAAAAATCAAATGTTTCCGAGAAAATGGGGAAAAACGAAAATTTGGGTTTTTACTTACTTATTCATGCAAAAAATACAGTAAAATTGACCAACTTTAGTATGTTAGTACTGAAGGAGGATGTTTCGTGAGAAATTGGGGGTGTTTTTACTTGTAATTCAATTTATTTTTATTTGTGCCACTTTTAGGAGCTTTGGTTTAATTTTAAAATTTACGTGATTTTTTAAGAAAGTACTCTCAAACGCTTGTTGCAAAAAGCGGGAAATCGAGCAACTTCAAGCCTTCAAAACGCGTCTTGGTATGTGAGAAATCATGTCAAACTGCATGCTGGCACAAAGGTTGGTCCTTATACGAAAATAATATAAAATAACAAATTTGCCGGCAAAATAAAAGAGTTTGCAACGCATTATGGCCAAGGTCAGGAATTTGCATTATGCAAATCAGTTGTAGAAATCGTACTTGAGAGCTACGAAGAAAACAAGATAGTTAAAGATGGTTAAACAATTATTTGATATGGAAATGATATGAAATTATACAATAAGAAATCCGTAGACATTGCTGAAGAGGGCTGCAAATTGATGTGTAGATGCGAAATTTTCTGTTAATTTGAATTGCAGAAGACTCTCTTATGGTTTACTCACTATTTCAACAGCACCACCTTCACCTAACTATAGATAAGGGCCGCTGTATAGTTCAACATTTTTGTTGACAACGTGTTTATTATCGACATTATTCTCAGTTGAATGGCTACTTTTTCTGCAACAGGGATAACATTTCGTTTGAAATATCTTGGATATCTTGAAAAAAGTCATGCGAGTAAACAAATTCATGCAACACCGCAAGCTTCTGCTGCGTAGTTTTTCACCTCAAGATAACAGCCCAACTATTTTTTTTAATGCTATATGCTCTTATCTTTTTTGGAAAATGGCCACAATTCTGTCATTAAACTTGATAGAAAGGACTTATGTCACGGTAGCAATTATACCGTGTTGCAGTCTGGGCGATAATTCTCTATGATGCAATCACAGTCTTTTTCTTAAAGGTAAACAAGCGCGAGGTTTTTCACAGAGCATATAATAAGGAAAACAATGTCATTCTGTAGTTTTGCTTCTCTTCTTGGGGGAGCTTGTGGTGCAAGTTGTGAAAATCCAAACGCGGTTGACTTTATCGGATTGAAAGACTGTACTAGGGATGTTACAGCTCACTTGAAGAGTTGAAACATTTTGACGGATGTTGAAAGCGTCAACAACAACGAAAGGAAATTATTACTTTCAAATACCCAGATTTTTTTTTTATATTACTTTAGTTTAAGGACCAAACTTTGTGCCAGCATGTACTTTGACATGATGTCACACATACCAAGAAGCGTTTTGAAGGCTTGAAGCTACTCGATTTTTCGCTTTTTGCAACAAGCGTTTGACGGCACTTTGTTAAAAATCATGTGAATTTTAAAATTAATACTCCTTAAAATGCCACAAATGAAAATCAAATAAATTCAAAAACAAATTCATTCGCAATCGTTGATTGAAGATCGTTGTTGGTTTGAACTAATGATAAAAAAATAAATAAACAAATAAACAAAAAATTTTAAAAAATCTAAATCGAGATTTGTAAAATTTACCCCGGCTAAATGATCCACTATTGTATGAAAAATATTCAGTGATCTTGTTTTGGTCTCCTAATGCTTGCTTGTTCCAGTAATACAGCAAAATAGAGATAGCGTAGGTTCTCAGTGTCAAAGGTCTAAGTATTTCACTAAAGCATGGTCTGTAATCTCCTATTTGCACATTCAAATCACTCAAGCCTTTGACTGATTTGGCGCATGAGCTTGTGAGAATAGGTGTCATCGAATTAATGTTGAAGCCTCTATTATAATTAACCAATTTATGTTTGCAGTATAGGCTAACGCAAAGGGGTAATGCACTTATGCTGTCTCTCAAGTTGATCTGGATTTTGAAATTCCTTAACAGTATGCGAGAATGCAAAATACGCACTAAATGGCATTTTCGTCTTTGCCACTGAACTTGATGTGAAAAAAATTGACCTTCTCGGCGAGGATGTAGGTAATGAAGCACCAAGGTTTGACTTCAAGAGACATCTTTACCTAGTATGTCAGGTCATGTAATAGTACTTCATTCAAATTTCTTCTTATTTACGTGCGTATGTGCCTATGATTCACAAAAGATAGGGCTGAGAATTCCCTTCAGACCTAATTAAAAGTTCTGATAAAGTGGGTAAACAAAACGTACAAGCCAAGGTAGTCTATTGATTTCGAAAATTTATCCTTCGAAATTCGTTTCTTTGATGCTGAAAGTTACCAGACGACATATCTACACTGTACTTGATAGCCTTGATTCTTAAGTAAAGCCGCAACGTTGCCATGTCTGTTGTCTTTACCATGTGGGGTATTTCATTTTCTGCTAAGACTCATTATAATTTAGTTCTAACAAGGCGTTTTTTACTACAAAATGACCTTTCGGACGACCTAAAGAAAAATTCTAGGGGAACATGCTACCTGTTTACCACTCCAAGAACTTAATTTCTTCAGCGGATATCAATCCGACCACCCTTACTAATCCTGGATCTGCCCTGAGCAGTAAATTTACGCCATATAATAAAATTTATTTCCTTTAGGTTCTGATCTGCTTTTCCTGGCACTTTTTGTGACTTATCAAATTCTACCATCAACGCGAGCACTCCCAATAGATTGCCAAAGGAACACTGCAGTCTGTTTGGAAGAAATAATGAAGGAAGTCACCCAAGTTCGATTTGAGGTTAAAATTCTCATGGAGAACAAAACATTGGCGAAACGTAAGCACGATTCCTCTTCGTTCATATGTGTTACTACCTTTATTAACATTTATTCATTTCAATTTTTATTGTTATTTTTCATGAGTATATCAACTGTTTTTCCGTTGTATTTCATCAACAGCTAAGAACTGTGTTGAGCTCTACCATTCCGGTCAAAGGATCAGCGGTATTTACACGATCGACCCAGATGACTCAGGTGCTTTTAATGTGTATTGTGACCAAACTACTTCTGGTGGGGGATGGACAGTCTTCCAGAAGAGAATGGATGGCTCTGTTGATTCTAATCGCACCTGGAATGACTACAAACATGGCTTCGGTAACTTGGTCGGTGAATTTTGGCTCGGACTGGACAAGATAAACCGACTGACACAAAACATAACAAAGAACATGCTTCGAATAGATCTGGGGGTAACTACGCGCCAAACTGTTCACGCTGAGTATGAATGGTTTGGGATTGGAAAAGGGACGGCTGACTACCGGCTGTACATTGGCAATATGACAGGTAAGTAAACCGTCTCTTTAAACATTCATCGTTCGATTTTTATGTGTTACTTCCCCTATCCACGTCTTCTGCCCCATTCACACCATAGCTTAAAAGCTGTTTTGCTAAAATCAATTTAAAATTTATTTCTTCAGGGGTGTTGCTTAAACTGATCTTTGTCCACTTCAAATTTTGCACATTTAGCGAATTAACAAGTTAGTGACATCTTGAATCCTATGAAAAACTGATTTTTAATTCAATCCCTTCCCCCAACCCCACGTGACCTGCAAATAATGGTTCGTTCTAGCGTGTGTTTTGCTGTTAATTCTGCCCATACCTAGTTGAGTCCGCGCTCCTCCGTGGACAGTTTGCTTTCGAAGCTGCTTGAGATAGAAAATTCATTCAACTTGGCCTTAACAAAATCATAAAATTTGAGTATTTACCATTTTGCCCGATATTTTTGTATTTCGATACCTGCCCTACTTCGTCGATTAGTAGCTATCGA